GAGTATTATTTCATTTCACATTTCAGTACAGCGTACAGCATCGAATCTGGTACTGGAGCGCGCATCAGTTTAAATCTTTTAGTTGAACGTTACGCTTACGACGGTACCCAGGTAGAAATAAACGTCGGTCTGCTTGGGTATATATAGAGCTCTAGTTGTACCTGGGTACCGAAACGTGCTTGCTTACATGTTTTGAATTTTGTGCGGTTTAAAAATCGACTCGGTTCAAAATGAAGCGTCACAGAGAAAGTGGAGCGGCGTATAAACGAAGACGAGAAGAAAAAGAGAAAGAAGCAGCTAAATCACGGGATTCGCTGTTGAAATACTTCAATCCTAATCTTAACAGTTCGCAGTCTTCTAGTCAAAGTGTTGAAGTCAATCCGACAGAACTTAGTCCACAACAAGTCATTCAAGACATTCCTGAAGTTGCCGATGTGATACCACAAGCTAGTCCTGAAGAATGCAGTAACGAAGAGAATTCAGAAGAAGAAAGTGCAAACGCTATAGGATCTGAAATCTCGGCTTTGAACGAACTTACTTGTAGCTCAGAATCCCAAGATTTTATCGAAGTTCGCAATTCAGAGGTACTTCAGAAAGTCAATGTCGACGTGGCGGTGGCGGAAACCAGCACTCAGAGCAACGAAATTCCAAACGATGCGGGACTGTGGCCAGAACTAATTTCAGACGAACTGCGCGTGTACTTGGTGAAACAAGGTCCGGATCAAGTGCGCCATATGAACGCAAAATTTGCTTCTCAAACAAGACCAGCATCAGAGAAAAGTAAAGGCCTTGTCAGAAATTTGACAAAAAATTGGTTCTACAAAGTTCTAGAGAACAATCAAAAAACTTTGCGAACCTGGATGCTATATTCACCTGCTAAGGGATCGCTAGTCTGTTTCTGTTGCAGATTGTTTGATAGAAATTCTTCCCAGTCTTCAAGTTTCAGTAAATCTGACGGTTTCAAAAATTGGTTGAAACTAAGCCCAAAAGTTGACGAACATGAAGCAAGTGCCTTGCATTGCAGTACCTTTTTTCAGTGGAAGACTTTGGAAATTGGGCTGATGTCAGGAAAAACTATTGATTTCCAACATCAAGAGTCAGTTTTACGAGAAGAAAAGAAGTGGCGTGACATTCTGAAACGCATACTAGACGTCATCTTGTTTTTGGCGCGACAAAATCTTTCCCTGAGAGGTCACAGAGAAAGTTACAAAGATTCGTGTGTGGAAAACCACGGAAACTTTCTCGAACTTATACACTTCTTATCCAACTATGATTCAGTTCTAGCAGAACATCTAACTCGAGTTAAGCTGTCCAACAAACTTACGCCAACGTACTTATCTCCCGAAATTCAAAACGAGTTTATTAATTTGCTTGGAGACCATGTTCGACGTCGAATAATTAGTGATGTGAATGATGCCAAGTACTTTTCAATTATATTCGATAGTACACCGGACATTTCTCACAAGGACCAAACCAGCCAAGTCATTCGCTACGTCAAGATCAGCGGAACAGAAGTCGAAGTTGTGGAGTCCTTCATTGATTTTATTGAAACGCATGGAAAAACTGCTGAACAAATTTCATCGATGATCTTAAAGAAATTGGAAACTGACGGTTTAGATATTCAGAACTGCCGTGGCCAAGCTTACGATAACGCTGCTACAATGGCCGGTATTCGCAACGGAGTACAATCTAAAATCCGGGAGATTAATCCTAAAGCAACGTTCATTCCTTGCTCGAACCACAGTTTGAATCTTGCTGGCGTTCATGCAGCATCTGTTTCGGCAAGTTCCGTTACTTTTTTCGGAACACTAGAACGTATATTTGTATATTTTTCGTCATCGACACAGCGTTGGGATGCTTTACTTCAAGTGACAAAACAAGGTGTAAAGAGGCTCGTTGACACACGCTGGAGTTCTCGACACGACGCTGTTGCAGTGATAAAAAATCATTTTGAAGAAATTCTGGAGGTACTGGAAAAGTTGAACGAAAACCACAATGAAAACGCCAAGACTCGTTCAGATGCTGGAATATTGCTTTGCTCCCTTCGAACTTTTTCGTTTCTCGGGTATCTCAGCCTTTGGAGTACTGTTCTTTCAGAAATAAATGATACTCAAAAATACTTGCAAAGACAAGGTCTAAACGTTAAAAATTGTGCTGAAAAAGTTGCAGCTTTAAAAATTTACTTAGAGACAAACAGGGAGAAAATCGTTACCAAAGCCGCCGAATATGCAACCTTGATGTGTGAAAAGCTCGATATAAGCGTTACTTCTAAACGTACAAAAAAGAGAAAGCAGATTCACGGAGACGGATCCGAGGGCGTTTCGCTCACCCCAGCACAAGAGCTTAGTCGAGAAATGTACGGAGCTGTTGATAGAATTATTGAAGAAATAACGACTCGATTTCAGCAGTTGGACGAAATTCGACAATAATAATAATAATAATAATAATTTTATTTAACCTTTTGTTTCCATTTCTAAAATGTAAAGGTAAGTCATTAACTATTATGTAATATACAAAATGATTAATCTATAATATTATTACAGTTCACATAACATACCACAGATAACGTACAACAGATAACGTACAACAGATAATGTACAACAGATAACATCTATGACTTCACAAATTCTTGGAGCGAGTAATAGCAATTGCTGACTAGATAGGTTCTAAGTGCATTTTTGTACTGATTTTTATTTTTTATTTCTTTTATTTTTTGTGGTAGAGCATTGTACAAGTAGCAGCCTGCGTAATGTACCGATTTTTTGAAGTTAGTGTGATTGCATTTAGGTAAGTATTATATTGTGCCCAGTTCTAGTTGAATACTTATGATTATCACAGTTACGTTTAAATAGATGTATATTTACATGTATATATGTTAAAATTTTATATAAATATATAGATATAAATGTTAAAAGCTGGTGATTTTTGAAAGTTTGACGGCAGGATTCGCGATACTTCAGACGAAAGATGCGTCGAATTATTCTCTTTTGTAGAATAAATACACGCTCGGCTTCTGTAGCCTGGCCCCACACAACTATGTTGTAACTGATAATTGAGTATACTTTGGCAAAATATACGGTGAGAATTGCTTTAAGATCTAAAGTGTTGCTTAGACAAATAAATGCGTAATGCAATTTTTTAAGTTTAGAACACACTTCGTCAACGTGATGGGAAAAAGTTAACTTGCTGTCTATTGTAGTACCTAAAAATTTAGCAGTTTCGGCAGCTATCAGTTCATCATTATTGTCTATACGTACTTTTAAGGGCGTAGCACTGCGCACTCCACCATAATTAAAACGCAAGCAGGTTGTTTTTGAGATATTTACAATAAGTTTATTTTTATTACACCACTCCATAAAAAGGGCGATAACTGTTTCGAGTTTCGCGGTTGCCTCTTCCAATGTTGATGAGGAAATGACGATATTGGTGTCATCGGCGTACTCAGATAAATATTCGACCATATCGTTCACGTAAATTAAAAATAACAGGGGCGCTAGAGTGCTGCCTTGTGGTGTACCCACGCCAGTGGAAAATTCTTCGGACTCTTCTCCATCAATTTGGACTTTAAAAGTTCGGTTAGAGATAAAAGATATAACCCAGTCGTTAACATTTCCTCTAACACCTACTGCTGCTAGTTTATTCGCCAGGAGACCGTGGTCAACGGTATCGAACGCCCTTGTGATGTCCAGCAGAACCGAAATCACTACTTGATGTTGATCTAAATTATTGTGGATTTCTTGGAGGTAGTCAATTGTTGCGGTTTCAGTGGAGAACAGTGGAGACAAAAGTACAGCTTTCTTTTTCCGGAATCGCTGCTGGACCCGCAGAAAGAAGACAATTTTGATTTTGAGCTTCCCGATGATGTGAACAGGGAAGACTTCAATGTAGAGCGTGACCGCCTTCGAAATTTTTGCAACGCTGCTAATCACAAAGTTGAAACGTTTTCAAGTGATCCTTTAAGTCTTTTGAAGTTTATCCAACGTTATCAACTTGAAATTTCCGTGCCGAACATTGTTATCATGCTGAAAATTTTCCTGTCTTTTGCTGTTAGTGTTGCATCGTGTGAAAGGAGTTTTTCTAAGCTGAAGCTTATTAAAAATTACCTTCGTTCGCAAATGTCTTCTTTGCGCTTGCGAAATTTAGCGATTTTGTCAATTGAAAGAAAGTTGACAAATGAAATTGACTTTGACGACCTTATTAAGGAATTCGCAGCAAGAAAAGCCAGAAGAATTAATATTTAGTTTTAAACGTTAACGTTTGTAATTATGATGACTTGTACTGGTACGTAATACTCTAAAGTTTGTTTCTTGAAATAAATAAATATTTATTTCTGACATATTATTTCCGTGCACTATTAATAATTAAATTGTAATGTTACGTAATATAACCTTAAGACAAAATTCCAAGAAATCCTTGAGACGAGGGGCGGCAAAATCTTACTTCCGCACCGGGTCAAAATCACTGACGCTACGCCGCTGAGTCCATCAAATATATTTGTAAATATGTCAACAAAGGCAGTGACATGGCCATTTTCGGAGTGGCACCTGAAAATAATCTAGATGAAATCCGACAATATCAGCTTGGCAGATATATCAGCAGCAACGAAGCAATATGGCGCATATTTGCATTTCCAATTCACGAAAGATATCCAACTGTGGTACATTTGGCTGTTCATTTAGAAAATGGACAACGAGTATATTTTACCACAGAAAATGTTTTCGAGCGAGCAGCACAACCACCAGCAACAACATTGACTGCTTTTTTTGCATTGTGCCAAACTGATGACTTTGCTAGAACGTTATTGTACTCAGAAGTTCCACGTTATTTCACGTGGAATGCTACCAGAAAAACATTTGAACGTCGGAAACAAGGTAAACCCATGATACTATAATAATCAGATATGCTCAACTGGCGAACGAATTTAGAACTTGTTTGCGCATTACGTCATCGGGTGACAAATTTAAATTTTGTTGTCGCTTGTCGCCAATGAATATTAATGGTGGGTTTATACAATCATTATCATTAGTTCACTAACATTAAGTAATTAGTTCACTATAATTAAACTAATAATTAATACCCACATTGGTTTATACAATCATTAATGTCACTAAGAAATACCCAATAGGAAGGCAAACCGTGCGCATGGTTTTTGTAGGTACAGTGTGAAACGTGTTTTACCATATTTACGTGTGATTATTCAACCTCACTTTTTTTATAATAATATTATTTGGAATTTCGATAGTTTTTGGATTGTGTTGTGTTATGATGGACGACGACGAAGTGTTTGCAGCTTTTTTATTGCTGACTACAGCCGCGATGCTCTATTTAAAACGTAAAAAAAGAGTACGCAGGTACAAAGTGCGACCTATTAATCGCAACAGAATAGTACATGGACAATTTCATAAACGTGTAAGACGTATGCGAGAAATGGACCATGAACAATACTTTAAATATACAAGAATGACACCGGCAGTATTTGATAATTTGTTAAGCATTGTTGGACCACATCTGCAGAGACACAAGAAAAAATCACATATTTCTCCAGCTGAGCGACTAACCTTAACATTACAGTAAGGACTAATTTTGTTACAAAATTTAACATTTAATTAATTATTTTATAGTTATCTGGCCGAAGGATGCTCTATGCAAGAGATTGCAACAAATTTTTACATGGGGAAAACGACTGTTCATATCATAATTAAGCAAACATGCTCAGTTTTATGGGATGTGTTGTCACCCATACATTTAAAACCGCCAACTGGAACTGAATTTGTAAAGATTTCCAAAGGTTTTTATCAAAGGTGGAACATGCCTAATTGCCTTGGTGCTTTAGATGGCAAGCACATTCAAATTCAAGCTCCTGCACATAGTGGCAGTGATTTTTTTAATTATAAAAAAACTAGCAGGTGAATATTAAAGTATTATTATTACTGCATTTCATTATACTTTTCCAGTATTGTTTTAATGGCAGCATGTGATGCTTTTTACCGTTTTACGTTGGTTGATGTTGGTGGTTATGGCTCACAACATGATAGCATTGTATTCTCAGAATCTGCATTTGGTCAAGCCATTTTAAAAAATCAAAACGATGTTCTTGATTTACCCGATGCTAAACAACTACCTGGAACTTCAGTTTCATTACCTTTTTTTTTGTGGCAGATCAGGCTTTTCCACTGCATAAACGTATTATGCGACCCTATCCAGGGGAACGACTAGGGGAAAATAAAGAAATATTTAACTACAGGTTAAGTTTCTAATAATAATTTTACATATATATAACATATAATTATAGGTTGTCCCGTGCTCGACGAACGATTGAAAATACATTCGGTATCCTGTCAGCACGTTGGAGAATCTTTCGGCGACCGATTGTCGCTAATGTGACAACCTGTGAGGCTATTGTTAAGGCATGTGTTGTTCTTCACAATTTCCTCCAAGTTAAAGAAGAGGACATACCAATGGGTAGCAGAAAGTATTGTCCTACTGGATTTGGAGACGAGGTAGATATAAATGGGGGCCTGCGTCCGGGACAATGGCGCAATGAATCAAACATGTTACGTCCAGTTGGTCGGCTTGGTTCTAATTTTTCAACCCGGATTGTACGGCAAAATCGAGAATTATTAACCGCCTACTTTGCCAGTGCACAAGGAAAAGTAAGCTGGCAATATGACCATATTGCAGAAGGCTCTCTGCCAAGTTAAAATTGAACAAATTATACTAACATTTTATATGCATGCATTGTATTTTTTCTTAATATTGTTCCATATAAATATATATAGAAATAAACCTATGGTACTAAAATACTTATATATACATCGATATTTACATTTTGTTTCATTTTGAAAATAATATATTCATGATTTCAAGCTGTTTAGCTTGTCGCGTTTCTGCATCAAGTTCTTTTAGATAAAGACCGACAGTTCGGCCAAAGGACAACTCTTTATCAATCATTTCGTCGGCCTTTTCTTGTTTGGCCGCTAAATATGTATTAAATTTATTTAAGGATGCTTCTAGGGCACCCCTAATGGGACTTTTTTTTTTTGATGTTTTGTTGCCGGATGTGTCTAATTTTCTTTTTTTTCGTGCAACAGGTTCTTGGTTTTCTTTGTCTAAAATTTAAAATCATTAACAAAACTGACTTAGGCCCAGTTTCTCAATCGCCAGTTATCGGCGGATAAAATTTATCCTCTGGGTAAGCTATCCCAATAACATTGTCGTCATGGCAACTATCTGTCAGATAACCTTATCCGGAGTTTGAGAAACTGGGCCTTAGTAATTTTGTATACCTTCCGATTGTTGGATATCATGATGTGTTTCTTCATCAAGATCCTCTTGGGAGTCGTCAATGTTCGACTCTGTGTAGAACTCCTCTACCTCCACTTCAGACCCTTCCAAAATTGTGTTAATTGTGTCCCACGGATTTGAGGGGCCAGCTTTAGTTTGCTCTTGGGCATTTCTATGTCCGGTTGCAGAGCATGAAGGGCCAGGTTTTTCTTGGCCTGCTGCATTTTTCATTTGCACGTTAGAGGTAGTTCTGTAATTACAGACAAGGATAGTAGATCAAATAATATTATGACACCAACTTACTGTCTACTTTTAATAAAACGTAGCAAAAATTCAAGCTTTTTGTACAAAGGAGATGGCTCCACAACATCTCCTCCTGCTCCAGATGCAGTTGCAACCTGCAGCTTACGTTTCTCTGTAACAAATCGGTTTCGGAGAACCGTAAACCGAGACTCGCAATCTACTGCTACAATTCAAACATATATATATTTATTTCCTACTGAATAACATTATCATACGGGTTCGTTCGAGCATTTGTGCCACTGTCGTCCAAGCATTTTGTTTGGCCCTTTTGTTTTTGAAATTGGGGCTGCTTTTGTCATAAATTTGACGAAATTGTTGCACCACATCAATCAATCTCATATCGTCTTCGTCAATCATCTACAAAATGCTTTTTGTAACTAGAAATAATATAAAATAGCGTTGGGTACTTACACTAATTGAATAAAAACAACTCGAAATAAAATACAGCTGAGTGCTACTACAGAACTAAAATAATTGTCATAACAATCAGCTGATTGTGTGTTGACAGTTACGCATGCGCACTGTTCTCTTTCACTAAGAATTTAACAAGTTTAGTTAAAAGTTAACCATCTTCTTAGTGATAATGTTAATGTTAGTTAATGAAGTAATGCTGTATAAACGCGCCCATTCATTACCATATATTTAAGTTTCTTAGTTTAGTGAGCTAATGTTAGTGAACTAATGATAATGATTGTATAAACCCACCATAAGAGAGATTTACACAGTAACATTTTTATGAACATTTCCGCGGTTGTAAAGTGCATAACAAATGTGGCACAGGAAATGAATTGAATAGGATGTTTAGTTTTTCACCGAGTTCGCACTATGAATGAGTCGATTTCGGGAAGGTCTCTTATCAAAAGTTGATCAGGGATAAAAATGTTTCATCGTTCGTTTTAGTGCACACTTTAGAGGTAGCTCTTATGACTAATTTCTCCAAGATGACCATTCCAAGTGAGAAGTGTAAGTTATTGAGCGATGAGACTTGGCAAAGAATAATAACAAATTATCATAAATTATACTTTATTACAATTCAAATTAAATTATCCTTAACGAAGACCATAAAATGCATACACGAGGAGGTCATAACTTAGCCTTTAATATCGAGGGTTGTAAAATACGTACATTTTAGTTGCTTATGTAATCTAGAGGGGCCAGACTAGTAACAACATTATTTAACAATTTTTACAAACTTTCTTTTCCTCGTATTTGACTGTTCTTTAATATAACGATTTAATTTTCGAATTCTAAAATACAATTTACACCTAAAAAACAGTTTTTTGGCATCAAGACTAACATCTACATTTTCAGAATGTTCTATTAAGTTTTTTATATAATTAATTTGAATTTTTAAAGAATTTCCATTTATTGCATCAAAAATCGCATTTAGCTGCCTACAATTTTCAAGAAAGTTATTTGTGGGTTTCATTAAACCGCCTTCAGACACGTGGTTAAGCCACGAAGATGAACAATCGCTGGAATCTGGAATGAATCCCAGAGTCTCCTTTTTTCTTAATTTGAAAACTACATATCCCGCTAAGTTTTCTAATCCGTCACATTGCAGTTGAGTCAGCTCATCTACTGAAGAAATTTCATCTGTTGTACCTTCGTCGTACCTATCTACATTTACTTTTAATGTACTTAACATTTGCCCAGTAACTGTTTTTACATTATCTATATCGTCACAAATATTTTTTAATGTATGTAGGTTCTCAATTATAATATTTGGTGCATCTACTGCCTGTTCTACATTTGAAGAGTTAGAAATGATTTCATCATTTCGTCCTAAAACGTAATTCCTTAATCGATATTTAAATTGTAAAGCAGTGGGATGGTCGTAGAGACCACCAATTGATCTAACTATTGAAAAAAAACCTTCTAACGGATCTTGGTTTAAGCGGTAAGTTAATAAATATTTTGCATTGAAATCTGTCTTAAGATCATTAAGCAATAATTTTAATGACGTATTCCCTATTATAATACCTTTTTGAAAAGGCAATAATGCTTTAGAATCAATTTTTCTTAAGCTAAGCATTGTATTCGACATGTCATCTATAATTTTGTTTTGATCATACAAGGACAAACCATAAGCCTTCATTCTATTTCGAGAATCACATTCGGGAACTTTTGAATTAAACACATCAAACCAATCATTTGTAATTTTGAGTAAGTGTGAGCATTCTAAAAAGCTATCACTTCGACTTAAACCTAAAGAACCTAATCTTTCAACGGCTTTTGCTATGGTGTGTGAAAACAATTTCGTTGCTAATTTTACCTTTTGCCGTTGTGGACCTTTGACTGTTAAAAAACTCTCATCGATTTTATGAGAAATGCGTAAGTCTAAATTTTTGTTGTTTTCCAAAAGTTCTACAATAGGTTTTGTGTTAACAATTTTGCCATTCAACAGGAAACCTGTATCAATGAAATGATTCCTTAAAAGTTTTATCATATGAGGCGCGTCCGCAAATACATAAATATTTTTTTTCGTTGCTGGATTTTCAAACCACGTCTTATTTTCTGAAATATTTAGCGATGTCCAAAGACCCCTGTTGCTACCTCCTAGATCTGAGTTTATCGCATACACTGGATAACCAATGTGCTCAAGATTTTTAATAATTTCGAATAGTAGTTCTTTAGTTATCTTGCAGTCGAAATCATAAAATATCGGTTGCTTCCAGTTTCCAAATAGACCTCGAGCCATAATTACTTGAACATATTTTGATGGGCTTAATGTTGTATCACTTTTTCTTTCGTACTCGAAACCAGCTTGAATTTTCATTTCATCAAACAGCACAACGCAAGCTTTGTCCATTTTGGATAGAGAATTATTTTCCATTAGCCTTAGTATTATAGTTAAGATACCTAAAAGAGATTATTTCAATGTTTAGAATATTTAGTTATAAAACCATGTACTAAATTTTACAATTGCTATAAAATACCTGGCTTGACGTCAATTTTCTCTGCCCACCGCCTTAATGTAGAAAGCCCTGGGAGTGGATAACCTCTTTTTCTCAATAAACGATAAGAGCGTGGTCCTGCTGAGAATAAGGATATTGAAGAAGCAATGTCTTCTACTCTCCATAATATGCGACTACTTGTGGATTTTAGTTTTCGTAGTTGACCATTCGTAAAAATTTTTTCCACTAATTGCAATTCTGCGGTTTTCTTTGCAAGCATACGTCTATCAGTTTCCGATTCGCGTTCAGCTTTAATTAGTTTTGCATTGACCATTTCCAATTCTTTGTTTTGATTTAGAAAATTGTTGTCCATTAATTGTAATTCTGCAGTTTTTTGGGCAAGCCTACTCTTTAATGCTTCAGATTCTTCTTCAACTTTTGTTAGTTTCTTCTTAATCAGCTCTAATTCTACGTTTTGTTTTAAAATGGCACTTTTAAATGTAATACAATCTTTGCAAGAATGTTGGGAACTAAAAATATATACGAGAAATTTTATAAGTAGGGATATATTAGAGCAAGAATTTCATTACCATTTCTTCCATTGTAGAAATCTTACTTTCTGAAGCTATTTGATCTTGAGACGAGTCTTGAGACCGTTCATCCTGATACTTGCATGTATCCAAGCTTTCATCTTCACTTTCATTTAATTTTGGTAAATTTACAGAAGGAATGGCATCATTTTTTAAACACCATAAATGCCGTGGGTAATTTTGTAGCTTTTCTCTTAAACGATAATCACTTTCCACAAAATGTTCAGAACAAATTCTAGAATTTTCGACTTTAAATTTACGTTTTTTGTTGCAAACACGCACCCATTCATCACAAATATGTGTCAGTCTAGGAAAACGAAAATACCGACAATTTAAATTAAAAGTATAGCTGTTTCTGTTGGAATTATTTGTACAACTCATCACCGCACAATACACCATGTCGCTTACTTTCAAATAGAACGACACGCAAATCGCTACTGTCAAGCTGTCATTATGGCATGATACTATTATCATGTTACCAGTAATTCGTTTGTCACCCAGTGACGTCATTATAGATGCGCTCGCGTGCGCATGAGCATATCTGATTATTATAGTATCATGAGGTAAACCAGTAACTGGCCACCCACAGTTATTTTCAAGTGATGCCTTGGGTCGATTATACACTGTACATCCAAACATGGCTGAATGCTATTATTTACGTTTGCTGCTGATTACTGTGCGTGGCCCCACATCATTTCACAGTTTAAGAACTGTAAATGGCGTATTGTGCGAATCATATCGTGACGCCTGTCAACACTTTCATTTACTTGAAAACGATGAACATTGGGACAATTCCCTTCACGAAGCATCACTTACAGCTTCTTCATATCAAATGCGTACATTATTCGCAATTATAATATCAACATGCTTTCCATCAAGACCTGTACAACTGTGGGAACAACATAAAGACGCCATGACAGATGACATTTTACATCAAGCACGTAATGCAAGTGAACACACAGAATTACAATACACTGCGGAGATGTATAATCAATCATTAATTTACATTGAAGACATGTGTTTGATGATGGCGAATAAACTCCTTAATCAATTGGGACTGCCATCACCAAATCGAACCATTACAGAAGTTTGCAATCGTGAAATACAACGTGAAACACAGTACGATACCAATGCATTACATACATTTGTTCAAGACAACATAACAAACATGAATCAGCAGCAAACGCACGTCTACAACACTATTATGCAAGCCATCAATGAGAACAACGGTGAATTGTATTTCCTAGATGCTCCCGGAGGTACTGGAAAAACATATTTAATTGCGTTGATTTTGCCCACAGTACGATCAAACGGCAATATCGCGTTGGCAATAGCGTCTTCTGGAATTGCAGCCACTTTGTTAGATGGTGGAAGAACGGCACATTCTGCATTAAAATTGCCATTAAACATGCAACTAACAGAAACACCAACATGTAATATTTCGAAAACATCCGCAATGGCAAAGGTTCTTCAACAATGCAAGATTATTATATGGGATGAATGCACAATGGCACACAAAAAGTCTTTAGAGGCACTGGATCGAACCTTGCGAGATTTGCGCACCAACCAACAGCCATTTGGAAATGCGATTATATTATTAGCAGGTGATTTTAGACAAACTTTACCAGTCATCGCACGATCAACTCCAGCAGATCAATTAAACGCATGTTTAAAATCATCTCATTTGTGGCGATTGTTTCACAAACTATCGCTTACTGTAAATATGCGCGTACAGTTACAAAATGATGCATCAGCCAATTCATTTGCAAGCCAATTATTGGACGTTGGAAATGGAAAATGTGCTACGGACAATACAACAGGATTAATAACATTGCCTGCAGATTTTTGTGTTACTACTGAATCACAAGAGGAGTTAATTGCAAGTGTGTATCCCAACATTGTAGATAATTATACAAATCATCAATGGTTAAGCGATCGCGCTATATTGGCAGCTAAAAACAAAGACGTAAGTGATATTAATATTGAGATTCAAAACAAGCTTAGTGGCCAAACCAACATCTACAAATCTATTGATTGCGTTATGGATCCAGATGAAGCTGTAAATTATCCAATAGAATTTTTAAATTCACTTGATTTACCTGGAACTCCTCCTCATATTCTGCAATTAAAAATTGGTGTGCCAATCATTCTGTTACGCAATTTACATCAACCAAGGCTTTGTAATGGAACAAGACTGGCTGTAAAACAATTGCTGAACAACATCATTGAAGCAACTATATTATCTGGCAAATACAAAGGCGAAAACGTATTGATTCCACGTATACCAATTATTCCATCAGATATGCCTTTCGAATTTAAGCGAATACAATTTCCCGTCCGACTGGCATTTGCTATGACCATCAATAAATCTCAAGGGCAATCGCTTCAAGTATGTGGATTACATCTTGAACCACCATGTTTCTCACATGGACAATTATACGTTGGATGCTCACGTGTTGGTAAACCGTCTTCATTATTCATCTTCACACATGCCAAAACAACAAAAAATATTGTTTATGAAAGAGCGTTGCAATAAAGCAAACAATGGAATACAACTATTGTGTATTAATGTTAATTGTATGCCGTTCTCAATTTCGTTGCAATAAAGCAAAAAGAATAATAGTCTAATGTGTATTAATTCATGTTTTTGACATGTCGATGTTGGTGTTTTTAAGCCCACATCTTATGTCAATATGAACCCCACCGCCATCAACCTTCAGAACGACAGAGGAAGTGATACACTTTTCAATGAGGCCGTGTAATGTGTCAAACAAAAGATTTCCCTATTTTCCCTTGGACCCTTGCTACGCCACGTGGGGCGTAGCCCACGGGCTCACTAGTATCTAATGAATATACATTAAATATCTATCGTGGATAATTACAATTGTAAGTAAAATATTTGTAAATTATTTTAAATGTATTCTTAAAGTGCAATAATGTGCATTGCATAAAATTACATTAATTAGAAAAAGAAACAGCATATAAGATACGTGGTATTATGGATATTGTGTGGATGTTAAATGGACATGCCATATGGATTTCAAACGCCTTCATGTGGATTTATGAACACATCTTTCGCGCTTGTTTTTGTTTTGACCAATCACTGTAAACTTACTTGCCCACACCCTGTATGCGCATAACCTTAAATTAGCATTATGTGCACATTGCACAGCGCACGTCACGTTTGTTAGTTAACGCGTTTGGTTTGTGTTTACAATACGCTATATTAGTGATGACGTCACACGCCATTTTTGTTATGGAAGGTCATGTCCAATTATCCAAACACGTTTGATCTGCATGCTTTGTCTTATGAGTGAACATTATTGAACTGATTTTATAAATATTGTCGTGTTTTTAACAGTTACAAAGTGTTGAAACTTGAAGAGAGTACCTTAAACATTATGTTAAAAATTTCATTTCATTCCCTCCAGTGTTAAAAACATTGAATATTGTGTTTATTCAAATTAACCTCAAAATTTTCGCGGTGATTAGTACAAAAACTTAGTTGTACCTATTTTACGATCGTGTTTTTAAAATATTAACACTTTCGGATTTTGGAAAGTATTAATTAACAAGAGGGTGATAATGGTTTTATGTTGGGCTCCGGGTTGTAACCATTACAATCAACGAGAAACCTGCAGATTTTTTAAGTTTCCCACAGAACCTCGTTTAAGGGCCAAATGGAAACAACTTGTTAGGTACGTCTTTTTGCAGTATGTTGTTTTAAACTGTCTAAAATCACAAATATTATAGGCGCAGTATCGAACCAGGTAGTGGTGCCTTTTTATGCAGTTGCCATTTTCCAGATGGCCGGAAAGAAAATGGCCCAAAATTATTTGAATATAATCGTGAGAAACGATTTGCGTTCTCATCTCCAGAAAAGAAACGTAGATGTACGGATTCAAGAGACATAGAGTAAGTTGAAGTGTGTTTAATCAAAGTTATGTATATTTACATAATGTTATAGGTCAAAAGTACAAGATAATGAAACGTCTGAACCTGTTCCTGCATCAAGTGAGCTACAGCCAAGCAAATCACTGCAAGCCTCCGCATGGGGCGATCCCCAACCAAGCACATCCCATGAACTAACCGCATCCAGACAAGTTCCGGCATTGGATGAGCTACAGCCAAGCACCTCATGGCAAGCCTCCATATTGGACGAGTCACAACCAAGCACATCCCAAGAAGTCTTTGTGTCAAGTGATTCTGCTGTGGTGGATGCAGAAAATTATTTCTTATTACAAGAAATTAATGCGCAAAAGAGACAACTACAGTATTTCTCCAACCGCATGAGTTTTGACAGCATTGCAGACCACAATACACTGGTATTGTTATACACTGGATTACCCAGCAAAGAAATTTTTGAAAGTGTGTATAACTTAGTTAGCAATTTGAAAATAAATTATTATTTCCATTGGAATGTGGAAAAATTGAATCGCAAGGATCAGTTGCTCCTTACCCTTATGAAGTTGCGACAAAATGCTCCGCATTTAGACCTAGCCTATCGATTTGGTATTTCACAGGCTACTGTATCAAATATTGTAATTACATGGATTCATGTTCTTCATCAGATATTGTTTAAAAAACTAATGAACACCATCCCAGCTAGGGAGAAAAATAGAACGTGCTTGCCAAATTGTTGCAGTACTTTTACAAACTGCCGAATTATTATAGACTGCACAGATATTTTCACCGCTGTCCCACGGAGCTCAATGGCTACGCAACGAGTCACATACAGTGCCTATAAACATAGGAATACCTGCAAAGGTCTTATAGGTAATTCATATGCACTATGGAGGGAAAATCAATATATTTATTGAATCTTTTTGTAGGTGTTGCACCCAATGGTGTTATAACTTATATAAGCGGTCTTTATCCAGGTTCAACGTCTGATAAAAAAATAGTCCAGCACAGCGGAATCCTCGATCAAATGGTACCGGGTGATTTGATTTTGGCCGATAAAGGGTTTCTTATTCGAGATTTATTACCACCTGGAGTGGCACTAAACATCCCACCTTTTTTAAGTACAGCACAATTTTCACCGGAACAAATTAGGCAGACAGAATGTATTGCACGTGCACGCATTCATGTAGAACGTGCCATCCGCCGCATGAAAGTGTATCGGATTTTGTCTTTTATTCCTTCTAAATTGATTCCCTATGCAGAGGAGGTTTTCCAAACAGTTGGAGCCTTAACAAACTTACAATATCCCTTAATTAGAGAAGTGGAGCAATATTTCTTAGTGGCTGATGATTAAAATTTCATTTTATTTTTAATATTAGTAAGTAGGTAATAAGGTGTACAGTTTAGGGTAGAATTAATTATGTATTACTGGTCTAGGTCCTCATAGAATTAATAGTTAGTATAAGGTAATAAATAGCAGTTGTTACGGTACACCCTGTACTCACAGGTGAACTATATTATTAACTACGCGCAACTATTAGGAATCGTTCGAGATAGGCAGTATCAAGCGTTTTGGCCAAACACTACGAACCGAGTACTATTATTGTATTAATTTAATTTGTATGTATATATTGTATTTTTCGTTTGCTTATTTGGTAATATTTAATTAGAATGACTGACAAGGGATTATTTATTGTCATAAAACTCGTCTGGATGGAAGGATGAAAAGTGTGTCTTCAATTTTAAGTTAAGTCTTGATTCTAACCAGGAAAGGGTTAGACAGATTTTATATTTTGTATTGTATTTTGTAATAAATCTTTTGGAGAAAAACTTCGGATTTTATTTTAGAAGTATAATAGATGATTTCCATATTGCAGCAGATATTTACATATACTATATTAATAAAAAAAACACTACAAATATTTTTATTCTAGGCCATTAGCCTATTCTTAATTAGCTAACTTAAAAATATAAAAATAAACCTAAAACTTAACTATATTTACACATTAATATCTTATCTTTCCATACCTGACAGATAAGGTATAAACTTTTCTAAATAGAAACTTTTTAATAAAATAAGATTGTCACCCCAATTTGGGTCTTTTTCAATATAAGCCACTTCACATTCATTGGGAGTCCAAATAATTAAATAACATGCATCCCTATTTGACAAATGCAGTTGGCCCTGTACCTGATGGTAATATTCATGTTCAACATTTATCATCGACTCTTCTCCTTCCTTAAAAATAATGTATGTTTTATCGTTTCGCAGGGCTTGTTGCAAACTGGTGTTGCGGTACTTGTATGGGCATTTCACCTCCAATATAGAGTTGTCTCCAACTAGCCCATCAGGCGAGGCTCCTAAAAAGCCACACTTGTCTAACCACAGCCCTGTAGGTGTAACATTCATTTCAGTAAAAGCAGACGTGAATGTATCTATAGCAGACTTTTCATTTTCCTTGCCCCACTGGACTGCTCGTACTGACGTGAGGTCATAGCCATCCATCAATCTTTTAAAAAGGGATGGTGGAAAGCGATTACGGTGAATTGCCGCTAGTATCACACCAAAATTGCTTGCAGTGATACGATTTTTTCGTGCCATTAACCAATTTGCATTATTGGCTTGGCCTACCGTATTTTTTACCACGCAAGTAATTTGTTCTGGTGTTAATTGACACCTTTCTTCAATATAATATCTTTTGTTAGACGTTTCCAAATACTCCTTGTTGAAAACTAATTCATCTATAATGGGAAGAAACTCCATTGCGCTGTGGCAAACATGCGGTTGCAACAACCATGAAAAGCCAACTGCATTACCATGCCCTAAACTTCTATGAAACATTTGAACCACATCGTCAGATACTTCACCATTAATTGGTTCATACACCCCGTGCTTCGAAGGGTAGAGTTCTTTTAATGTTTTCACATTTTCTTCACCGCCTCCTTTTTTCTTATTCCATGCACACTCTTTGTCCGTGATGCTCACATTGTTATGTGCATGTATGCACAGGGCTGCCATGTGATGACACACTGCTTGTCCTCGAGGGCAGCTACACGTGGCATTTTCAATGTAATTATCTTGCAAGTTAATCGATACCTATGGATAATAAATATATACAAGATGTATTAGGTACTACATAGAATGAAACACACCTCAACAGAGTATGTCAGCCCTTTCATACTTGCTTTCACTTTCCCCTTCAAGACGGCAGGATCAACAGTTGCATCGAAATTCATCGTAAGTACGTTGCAACTTTTGTACGAATTTTCACCACGGTGAAGCTGCTTCATGTTTTCTTTAAAGAATGCAGCCACCATCGTAATAGAAATAACGTATTTCTCCGCCATCAATAATGTATATAATAAATTCTACAATAAGAATATTGAGGTTAGTTTTACCAATTTGCTATATTTCTATTCTAAACTTACAAAAATGATCGGTTTTGCACATGAATGATGTTGTACACAAAAAACTGTAACTAATAGCGTGAAATCTCAATATATCAATACCCTAATTGACGCAAAATTAAATTTTCTAAAAACTCTTATGGGAATTTACATGGTATAAAAGTTTGTTTGGATAAAGACAACTAACCTACCGCAACAAGATGGCGCTCTGACGTCACACTAATATAGCGTATTATTAAGATATATTTCCTTCGTTATCTGTTACGTGCTTGCCAGTGTTTTTACGTGGTTTTTACTTGGCCCGTGATAACGATAACCAATCCTCTGTTTAGTGGTAAGTACAGTACCTATAGCCCGCCCGCTAAATAATTGAGGTTAAGTGTGTATGTTTTATTTCAGATACCTACCTTAGACAGATATTACAATCCCAATTTTGATTGTGGAGGCTCTTCTGCGTTTTTTAATTTATAAGGTTTCAAGCTAGATACCTACTTCGCTGGATTTGACACTAGGTATGTATGTACCTACCATGTTATTTAGCATTAGGGCTTTAATGATAATTCACTCGGTTTAACCACAGGCCAGTGGAAATTGCCATAGAAGTAAGTAATTGTGGTAATAGGTTATACAAAATTGGTTAGTGGAGGTATATTCTTGGCCTTTGTTTTAGATTCTGATCATGTCTAAAGAATTAACAGACAAATGCCTTTTGAGCATTTCAACCCGACAAATTAATCGTATAATTAGTAATCTATCCAAAAAACATGACACATCAAATTCCGAACGAATAAATGTTGATAAGCAGATTGATATTAACCCTGCCGGTAGTAGTAATGATGAACCCGATGAACCATTTAATAATGAAATACCTTTCGATACCAGAAGTGAATGCTTTATTGAATCAGGTAACGATGAAACAACTTTTCCTTCCGAATGTAAGAACGATGACCTCGACGATGACGTTAATGCATTAAATGATTCGTTCAATATGGCTGATGTTTTGTCTGATAGTTTACAACGTACTCCATCGTTTGCAAACGATTTAAGATTATGGGCGATAAAAAACAAGATTCCTCATTCTGCACTGTCTGAGTTAATGAAAATACTGTTGAAGCATAACATTAAATCTGATGAATTGCCCAGTGACTCTCGAACGCTATTAAAAACCCCTCGATCTACTGTTATTCGACCAGTTAAACCTGGGAATTATCTTCATTTTGGTGTGCGTAATGGAATATTAAATACTTTTAAAAGTACCAAATTTAAGGGCGATAAAAAATCCATAGCATTAAAAATAAATATAGATGGATTACCGATTTCCGACAGTAATAATAGTCAACTGTGGCCTATCCTAGGTTGTATCAACTCTATCAATATTATCTTTATTATTGGAATTTACCACGGTCTCTCCAAGCCAGTCGATGCAAATGAATTTTTAGAAAATTTTGTTGAAGAAATGAAAGTATTAATTACCGAAGGAATTGAATGTTTTGGAGTAACATTTTCAGTTTCTATGCATAGTTTGATATGTGATGCACCCGCGAAAAGTTTTGTTTTAAAAACAAAAGGCCACAGTGGATACTCCAGTTGTACAAAATGCATTCAAGAGGGCGAATACTTGGAAAATCGTTTATGTTTTCCTCAAATTAATTCCCAATTGAGAACAGACAGAGATTTTATTAATCAATCAGATGAGGCTCATCATACTGGTGTCTCAATTATGACATCAATTCCAAATTTTGGTCCTATCACCAATGTACCCTTGGATTATATGCACCTTGTGTGCATTGGTGTTGTAAAAAAAATGGTATCATTGTGGCAAAGTGGATCATTAAAATTTAGATTATCACATAAACAAACAAGTGTAATTTCTGACAAAATGTTGCAATACCGAAACCATATCCCGAAGGAATTTCCTCGTAGGCCTCGCGAAATTTCATCTGTATCACAATGGAAAGCAACGGAATTAAGACTATTTCTTTTGTATTTGTCACCATCTGCTCTCAGTGACACAATGAACTCTTCGATGTATTTTAATTTTCTTACTTTGCATGTAGCCATTAGAATTTTATGCAATAGTCAACTATTAGAAAATTATTCAGATTATGCTGGGTTGTTACTGCAGCACTTTGTAAGTTCTTTTCAAAAAATTTATGGCAAATGTTTAATTTCCCATAATGTTCATGGACTGCTTCATATTACCGATGATGCAAAAAACTTTGACTTTGGATTCATATAGTGCATTTCCTTTTGAAAACTATATGCGCCAGTTAAAAATGAAATTAAGGAAAGCAGATAAACCATTGCAACAATTACATCGGAGATATATGGAGCAATTTTCTACTGATATCTTATCATTAGAAACATCTCAAAACATGAACTGGACATTTAAAAATAAATATGATGGTGGGCCTCTTACACAGGGATTAACAAATGAAGTACAGTTTAAAGAATTATACACACCTGAGTGGTGCCTTAGTATAACTATGCCAAATAATTGTTGTAAAATTAATGATTCAGTGATACTTGTATGTAATTTTGTAATAATTCAGGAAGTTATGATGGTTATTGGGAAACGTTTTAAAAAACAGTCGGATGTCTATGTTAAACCTTGCCCCTCTTCACTTATCAATATATATTATGTAGAAAGTGTGTCAGATAAATTAGAAATTTGGTCCGTGTCCGAGATAAAATATAAATATGTTCAAATACCATTTAAAAATGGGTATGCTGTATACCCACTTCTCCATGCCGATAACAATTTTAAATTTATAAATAGGACCCTTTATTTTACTTGTTCTGCACATAAATTTTGTTTAGAATAATTTGTCATCCAATATTGAAAAGCAATCAGAAAAACACCTGTTGTAGATATCCTGTATATAGTTATGCTGCCTTCAGTTGCACAAATGCAGTATCTATGTGAAACCCTTATACCATATTTTATTTATGAATAAACTCTTATTTAGAAATGTTTTACTACCTTTCTGATAAGCACACTAGATAGATTCGCTCGGTTTGCATTTGTTACGTACAACATACATCATATGAATTCTTTTCACTTCATGTGCTTTTGCTACTGAGGGCGGTATAGTACTCTTAATGCAGTAGCAGTAGGTGACGTTTTGTATTTCATAAATTCAGTGTTCTTTTCACTATGTTCATTTTGTATTTTTATGTTGGTAATGTTCTGTAAATTGCCATTTGTCTTTAGAACAACTTAGATATTATTATAATTATAGAATATTTAAAAAATGGAGAGCCAATGGTCTGTAGTGTTATTCGAAGACGGGCTACAGTTGGTTCCTACTGATTGGATTGTGGGAAACAGTTGCTATTGGCCCACGTTTACTAGTACCACACGGTACGAAAAAGCGGTTAAAAGCAGGGAGCCGCCAAATGAAGGATGGTCCCTTTATGAAATGCGCGTTTTAGGAACTTTTTGTAAGTGTTTTATAATTTCATTGCTATTTAAATGGATTTTCGTTTTTTTTAACTACCTACATATCTCTGTATTCAATGCTAATGATTTCATTCTAGCCTCATATGAAACCGCAAGGCGAAAACTAATAATAGCAGAGGAACACTCTGATTTGAATACAGATCATGAATTATCCAAAGAAAATCGGAGGCGTAAAAAAAAAGATTATTTCGTCTAGTGAAGAAGAAGAGGAGGATTCTCAAGTTGGCGTTTTAAACATATCAGAATTTCCTGATCTACCTCAAGATATTCGGAAGAATGATTCAACTGAAGTTTCAGGTATTGTGTTTTTTTGTTAGAATGTTAGTCCTTAAGAAAATGTATTCTATAGCATCCAGTTCAAGGAGACTTCTACTACAAGAATCTCAAGCACATGTAATGCCACGCTCACAGTGTTCCACGCCATCTAGTAGAAATGATGAAGGTATATATTTTTTTTTTTTTTTGGTAGGGTTCAACTACTAAGGTCATATCCCCTTTAATTCACTAAGCATATTATATATCAGCGTATATATTAATCATTTTCAAAAATCTCACCATCTTCATTGCATTTTCAGGGTTTATAAAATTGTCGATGTAGTTGGGCACTATACCGTTTATCAATCGCTCATTATTGTATAGTGGGCAATGGCTTATAATATGGGTAACCGTGATGGCCGTATTGCAGTGATTACATTGTCGTGGTACAGTATTCTTTAGCAGATGTTCGTGTGTGACCTTAGTGTGTCCTATCCTCAGACGGTGCATTTTCACGTTGTTCTCTCTCGAAGCATCTTGTAGCGTGTATAGTGTCGTTGGAATAGGTTTTATCTGCGACAGGTGAGTATTTACCTGTGCCCATTTTTCTTGCCATTCTGCAACATATTGCTCTTTTAGGTGTCTTCTGATGTCACTTGCCACCATGAAATTTACATCTGTCTGCTGGTTCGATATCGCTCTACGAGCGGCCTGGTCTGCTTGTTCGTTGCCAAAGATACCAACGTGGCTAGGGACCCAAATAAATTCGAGTGATTTACCTTGCTCCGAAATACGATGTATAGCAGACTGTAGCATGATGTTCATCGGATCTGTGTTGTAGATTTTCTTTAGCCCATTTAGGATATTCATACAGTCCGTAACAACTAAAAATCGGTTGTTTTCCATCATTGAACAGTATAGCACAGCCTGCCATAGGGCATACTGCTCTGCAAAGATGGGCGAAGAGTTTGTATTCAAGCTCCACTCGTATGCTACGCCCTCGGTGACTATAGCACTTCCCACCCCATACGCGTTCTTGGACCCATCCGTGTACACAGGTTGGTATGAGGGATATTCGTTAAGGAGGTTCTCGTATGCCTGCAGGTAAGTGGGTTGTTTTGTAATCTCTTTTTTGTAGCGCATTAGATCTTTTCTTATTTTTATTTCAGGTACCTTCCACGGGACAGTGTCCAGCATCATTTCATGGAGCGGCGCTGGAGGGACTATTCGGCGTTGCTCGAGATGTTCCTGGAATCTGTTGTTTATTACAATGTTAGTCCTTAAGAAAATGTATTCTATAGCATCCAGTTCAAGGAGACTTCCACTACAAGAATCTCAAACATATGTAATGTCACGCAAACCTGATGAAGGTATTGATTTTTATATATTTCCTTAAAGTACTAAAATCTATAACTTTTAGGGTTTGAGGAGAAGCTGTTTAAAGAGCTGTCTTTTATAAGGGTTCATTTAGTGAAAATTGGCCAACAACTGTCAGTACTAGAATTGAACATGAAATCTCATCAACTTCAAGATAATGACAAGAACGAGGAGAAACATGATAACTTTGAAGAGATAATACGCAAGTTTCCTTTGGATACCGAATTAGATCTAAGAAACATGGAGGTTTATCTTCTCAACAACCCTGATTTTAAGAAATACCTAGTAAGAAGTCTAATACATACATGAGAGTAGAGGTTATAGTGTATATTTTTTTAGATCAATTACTGCAGTCGATTAGGAGGACTAAAAATTGATCAAATCACCAAAATTATGTTAAGAAAACTAATTTCAAATAAACTAGCAGCCAACTACAGCTGGCTAGGAGCTAAAAAGAAGCAATCTTTCAACCTGCTGATTGCAGAGGTTATTTTATGTAAGGTTGACTAATTTTATACATTGATTGTTTTTTACGTATTGATTTAAATTAAAATGACATTTAGTAAAGTATATGCTTTTCATGTTTCAGGTGCCGTAAAGCAAAATAAGTTAATTGGTGAGACCACCGAGAAGGAAATGATTGACTCTGTAAAAAATTGGTTAAAACATGCACATGTGAGGTATACCAACCAATGGTAAGTTATTAGTCTAGTAGATATATAGCTAAAGTATTTAAAATACATACAGAATAAAAATAGTAGTTTTTCCACTAATTTTCTTTATATGTATTTTATACAGGGTGCCCATTATGTACAGAATATAGTATTTATCTCGGTAAATACCGACTGTATAAAAAATTTTCACTTATAATTGCACAAGAGGTTTGTATTTTACCGAGTAAATTTGGGTTGTTAAGGTAATGAAAATCTGTTGCCTAGCAATTAGACGAGAAAAACTGTTAACTAATAAAAATGCGACACCGAAGGTGGAGCATTTTTAGGTTGACAGTTTTTCGAGTTCAATTGCTAAAAGGAAACAGATTTGAATTGCAACAACCCAAATTTACTCGGTTTAAATACTAACCTCGAGTGTAATTCGGCAGGACAATTTAACGAACAAGAAATTCACCAAATTAGTCAATTATTGACAAACGTCAAACTAATCATATGGGAAAGGATAATGCGATAATTGGTTCGAAAATGAATAAGTGAAAAAACCTCTAGTGCATTTGTCGCTGGAAAAGTTGCAGGTAACTTTTGCCGCTGTCAAAGTGACAATTGCACTGCGGCTTATGCGATTTTTTATACATGAGTTGAATTGTCTATATAAAAGTTGTTTAACATTTTATTTTCCATAATAAGGCAGCATTCAATTGATTTTATTTAAAAAAACAAATGAGTAACAAAAAACAATTGAATTTTATTAAATAGCAATGTGCCCTTTCATTAGGCTCATTTGATAGAGATTTTACTGCTAATTTCAATTTGTCTTTAAGGTTTAATAAGAGAAGACATTCATTTGGTGTGTTTTTATGTAGGATATCTAGATTAATGTAATTACTGAATAAAGAGATTTAAATTTTTTTGAAAATTTTTAGCCATAGGGGTTCTAACATGTTACATAATAGAAAAGAGAAAAGAAATCTATATCAAACGAGCCTGATAAAGACGTGCATTGCTAGTAAAGTTGTTTTTGTTACTCATTTGTTTTTCGAAATAAAAACTGAATGTTGCCTTATTATGATAAATAAAATGTTAACAACTTTTATATAAAAAATTTTTTTACACAGTCGTTATTTACCACAATAAATACTTACTATATTGATTCCATACATAATGGGCACCCTGTATGTAATGATGACTATGAATTTGTGCCAGGCATCTTTAGAAACATATTCAACCATTCCAACCTGGTAGACAGAATATACGGTGGACACAAATGCCCCAATAATTGCGTAACCATAGCAAAATCCACCACCCGATTGAATTATCATAAATCTTCTAGTTACTTATATTAAAGCTTATTGTCCAAATTGCGTTTCATATTATATTAACTATGGAATGATACCCATGTATTTAAAGCATGTCTGTGTTAACGCGATTTTTTTTTATAGTAAACGGGAACAAAAGGGCGCAGAAGAACCTACAGGATAAGTTGTTTTTCTTTTTTATAAATTTCTTAATCTTAACTATTATATTTTATATTATTACTATTCTGGTTTTATACACATGAATATTTTGTGCTTTTTAAGTTGTAACTAATAAATAAATCATACATTTTTTTCATTTCTTTATGTGGTTCTATGCATTGCTGTATATCCACTGGATGTCCGTGGAACATTGTTAGTGCTATTTTTGATCCATATTACATCTAACAGATATCATTTTAAAGATTATGTACGTCTAATAGATCAACTGTATGGATATCTATATGTAGGTATATGGCGGGACATCTGGATATCTAGTATTCGTCCATTACATGTGAGGGGATATCCATTAAATATCATGGATATCCATAAAAAAACATTTTTTAGATATCTTATGGTTGTCAGTGTGCTGTGTGGGTATATGATTTCCTTTTTACTGTTGTATAAACATTCCTACTTCACCAATACCATAGCCATAATATTGAATTACGTTAAAATGTCAACAATTAGTATTTAATTTTTTTAAATTTGCTTTATAAATAAGATAATTTTTTACATGATATACATATATGGATATCTTTTAGATAAATGACATTAGATACTGACTTTCGTAGATGTCCCTACAATATCCATTAGATAAAGTAAATGGACTGGATATCAGGTGGATATTATCTACATTGTTTAGATATCCAATGGACATTATGTGCTGTGTGGGTGGGAGTTGGTGACCTCACATCTGACAAACACTCTCGAGGTTTCAAGAAAAGCTTTGTCGACAGCATCAAGTTTCCTTGAGATGTCTCGCTCGACTGCAACCAGGGCCAACTATAACCCACCATCTGCAACTGGAACATCATGTCAACACGAGCCTATGTCAGCAAACAGACAGTGTGGTGTGGGGCCCCAGGTAACACACATGTGTACAATGGACGTACAATGGATATATCCATTAGACATTTCAAAAGTCCATTGGATGTACATATTAGGTCCTCAAACATTCAATGGATGTTCAGTGGATGTACGTTTGGCACTAGAATGGATCTCCATTGAACATCCGTACACTACATCCAATGGAGGTTTACCTGGGATGTAACATGGATATTTTGCCTAATAATAATAACAATAATATTGATAGTTTATTTATGTGTTTATAATAATACAGTCATTGATTATTAATTTTTGTCCTTCCTCTCCTTTGCACGTCTCAACCATTTCGCTATTGATTGCTCAAAAACCATTCTTGAGGATGTGGGAAATATAGATAACCCAGATTCTAAAAAAATATTGTCAACAAGATTTAATAACCCAACCTAAACTTACCAATCACTAGTTTATTGAAGTTTAATTTATTAAAAGGTCTTTTTTGTTTTCGACCATAATAACTAAAATTGTTCGCAAGTTGGTTAGTAAACAACTTTTCCATGGACCTTGCCACAAAATTGTATGGGACGTTTCCACCTAGTCTTAAAAATTCCAGAACCTAAATGCTTATGGGTATTAGGATTTAATAATGTAGTATTTAAACTCACCACTTTGTTGAACTCTGCTGGATTGTTAATAAATGTTTCAAAATCTTCTAGTGCTTCAATAACATTGAAGGGGAAGTCAAATTTAGTAAAAATAGTATCTGAGATTTCTACGGAAGGTTCAGCTGATAGTACCATTTTTTTTTCCATGTTGGCAAACCTTTCATTCATCGCATTTAGTAAAGCCATAATTATATTCTGTTTATGAAGTATTTTAACCAACATTCCTAAAATAGAGAAGCAATGAACCAACATTGTATTTTATAGTTATTTTCAATTACAAATCCCAAATAGCTATTATGTACTCTTTCGTTTGTGGCACTAAATTATTACATGCTAGTAAGAAGTAAGTAAAAAATTTGAATTAGTATAAAGTATAAAAAGAACTCAAATATAAACATACCTCTATTGGATTCCACACCCTCCAAATTTTGATCACTTTCTACTAATTTGGTAACTTTGTCGGAGTTATCTGGAGCTGGAGGACTTGTATCATCAATATCTACACTATGAACTTCGGCTTGAACAACCTTTTTAACTGAAAATGTAAAAGGTGTTATAAATGTACTATTATAAACAATGTAATACATACCAACTTTAAGTTGAGGATGTGGTGGTAAACTGCTGACATGTTCTATTTCTTCTTCAACAGATGAAAAACTTGAAAAATGTTTTATTATTCGTTTTCTTTTAGGTGGTACAATTGCGATAATGGAATCCGATTCTAGATCTGATGTGATTGTGGCCTTTTTTGCTTTTTTTTGAGCAACATTAAAATTATCTGCAACATTTAAAAACTAAAATCTTAATTTGATCATTGGCTTTATTTACCATAAACGTTATTCCTAAATAAAAATATGTCGTAAAGAGGCCATTCCTTTCGAGGCTCTTCTCGTCGTTGCAATGCCTGTTGCAAACGTATATTACTGTAAGTGGGAAAGTAACATTTACCACCAGGCTGCAGCCAATTGGAAGGAACTGCTTCGAGGAAATAACAGGCCATTAGAACAAATAGTAGGTCGCATTAGTGAACAATTTTGTTACAATCCTTCGATAAATATTATTCAAGATCAAGATAAATTAGAAACGTGTAATCCCCATCAAAGTGGACCCCTTATATCTGATTGTAGCAATCCACAATACGCGAAAATTTGTTTTGAAACTTTTAAATTATCTAATAAGGCTCCTAATAATTGTTGTGGACTAAGAAATGGGGAAATCATTGTTATTAGAAATATATCATTTTGTAAGTCCGCAAATCGTTTGGTTATAATAGGTCAAAAATTTTTATCTACAAGTGATTTGTACAAAATTCCTTGCTACAGCAGTAATTTAGGAATTTATAAGGTGAAAAAAATGTCAAGTCTAAAAATGTTCTCAATTCAAAGCATATGTATAAAATACATTTTACTGCCATATAAAGAATCTTTCGTCGTATTTCCTATTCTGCATACCACATAATTCATCACTGCTCATAAACGAAATTGAACAAGAAAATTATTTTAGTATGTTATTATTAATTTTACTTTATTATTACCACCAATCAACGATTCCAAGACCAATAGAGAACAATAATCGGAGAACAATATAAATCGAATCTTCGCCCTACGGGCTACATGAATTTGGCTCAAAAAATGTTAAACGGTGAAGCCGAAGTTTTAGAAACCATATTTTTCAGAGTCGGTGAGGCCGAAACCGAAAACTTAAAAAACGGAAAAGGATGGGGAGAATAAATTACATTTTACATTATGCAACTTTTAAAGACTTAGAGCACGTTGACGACGTGACAAAAGTTTCATAACAATCTAATTTTCTTGTTCTCCTGGATTACTAAAGCCTGGATGGTGAGACAAACACTGAGCATTTTTTTTAATATATTGAACAGTTCCAACAAATCATTGTATGTGTAAAATACGAATGGTACCCGTAACGCTTATAATGTAATTTAGAAAGTTATTTTGTACGTTCTTTTTTGTCAACACCACAGTTTGTTAATGGATGGTAATAAAACACATAAGTTCCCACATTTTACTTGACACATGTTTTAATTTTCCAGGATACCTACATAATGAATTTTACCGTGGTAGAATTTGGAGATGGCATTGAATTAGTTCCAAACAATTGGCTAAATGAAGATAATACGTGCAGTTGGCCAGTTACATCTGATCGATCTGCACTCAATAAACTAGTTTTGTCCAAAACATCACCCGATTAAACCTGGAAAATTTACGCAGTTATTAAAATATACTGCCAAGCAGGTATGTTTTTCTAACTGCTTTATAAATTTTTTAAATTGTGTCAACAGCAACATATGAAAGAGGAATAGAAAAACTAAAACTGGCAATGGAGATGTCTAATATTGACACAGCCGATGAAACTCTAAAAAGATCTCGTCATTCCAGACATTCTGTCACATTTTCTTCAGAAGATAAAGAAAGTCAAGGTAATAAAATGGGGAAGAATAAGAAACGAAAGAAGAAAGCAATATCTGAATTTCATTCAGAGGATGGGATGAAAGTGATGATGAATCAATAAGAAACATCCCTGACCTACCGCAAGTACCAGAAAATTTTAATCCATCAGGGTTAGCAAAATCTATTCACTTGGACAGATTAAGGATTAATACTCAAACGCCTCCTTTTAATAAAGGCAATTTCTATATCAAAATGCCATATTAAGCTATGGAACGTAGTATGGAAGTCCATGATGACACTGCACATACCACGCCTTCATCTTCACGGTGTCACACCCCAATATCGAACTCATCGCACACTTTATCTAGAGGTAGGTAACATAAAGTTTTCATTACACCACATATATTGATCTATGCCTGCTATTTTTAGACGCAGAAGTTAAAATAATGCATAAGTTAAACACCTTAATATCAATTACTAGAAGTGTCCTCGAGCGACAAACTCTAAGTGGGCGGCCATAACGAAGCACCGCACATCGCACCGCACTTAGCATTGTACCTTAGCATCCGTGTGCTAAGCAAATTTAACTATTGAATTCAATGCGTGCGGCCATACCGGCGCACCGCCCCTCGCTTCGCATCGCCCTTGTACATAGGTGCATCGCACAGTAAATTGAGCTTAGTATTTTTCGGAGCCTCGCACATGGTCGTTTGTTTTGTTTTAAAAATTATTAGCGGGATGGATAAGGATAAATTAATTACCAGTGTGTTTACCAGGGAGGCGATCTGGAGCAAAAATAGTAGAAATCATCATAATTCGATATTATTATCGAAGTTGTGGAAAGAGGTGGCTGAGGAATGCAATACAACAGGTAAATATAAGTTTATTTATTTATAAAAAGGATGGTACATATTAAGTTTTACGGATTATTACATAAATAAGCTTTAAAATTATCTCGTACTACTTTTGCTTCATTATTAAGTCTTCCTGCGGGTGCTTGTCTATTTTCGTTTTGAAAGACAAATTGAGTTTCTTTCAAATTATGTAAAATGCAAATTGCCTTAATAATGTTATCTGCATGTCCAGGATGGGTCAATATAGGTTTATCTAAAATTTGCCATTTTGATCTCAGAATTCCAAAGGCACATTCCACAGTTCGTCTCGCACGGGACAAACGTTTATTAAAATATTCCTTATCTGCATTTAATTCTTGTTTTCTATATGGTTTAAGTGAATGCTTCATTAGTGGGTATGCTTCGTCGGCTATTATTACATGTGGCATAATTAAATCGGAATTTGGAAAAGCTGTATCTCCAGGCAAATTAAGGGTTTGTGTGGTCAATTTTTTATATAAAGCAGAAGCTTGAAATGTACCACCATCGCTCTGTTTGCCATAACCGCCAACGTCAATATTGATAAACTTGTAGTTTGCATCAACAAGTGCTTGAAGTACAATTGAAAAGAAACCTTTATAATTAAAATACATTGATCCAGAATTATTTGGGCAATGCATACGGATGTGTTTACCGTCTAGCGCTCCAACACAGTTGGGAAAGTTCCAAATTTCGTAGAAGTCTATTGCTATTTTTCTAAAATCTTCTTGAGATGGAACAGGCATGAATTTCATATAAAGAGATCCAAATGTGTTCTGAAATTTCCGAAACAATATTTGCTACTGTAGTTTTACCCATTCGAAATGAGAAAGCTAAGCTTCTAAATGAAATACCAGTGGAGAAATATCTGAAAGAAAAAAATATATATATATGTACAGGGTGTTTTTATTTTATGTGATATAAAAGCTTGTCGTGGGAATATGTTTTTCTTTACAAGTAATTGTAAGTAGAAATGTATCTATTTTTACAAGATTTTTTATAAAAGAAATTTTAACAGAACAACTGAAGGTTAATACTAATAACATATTTTTTTTTTTCTCTTTTCAGTTACGCTTGCAAAATCACACTGGAAACGACTCAGGGAAACTTTTAAAAAGAAACTGCTAGAAATGCCATCGAAGCGTTCAGGGGATGGAGTTGAAGACGATGACAGTGAACATTCGGATTGGCCATATTTTCAGTCACTCCTTTTTTTAAAAGATCAATGTTTACCTAGGCAATCTACAGGAAATTTTGATACAATTGAAACTGAGACTTTTGAAGAAACTGAGGTGGACCACGTAGCAAACAGCACAGACGAATTTACCAGCGAGGTAGAATCACAGCCTACCACACCCCATTCGGCACAAATTTCTCGCTCATCGACTCCACTTTCACCTTCGGCTACTGCATTACCCAAAAAGATGAAAACCCAAAAAGTAGGAAAAATAACTGATACAATCGGGGAAGGTTTATTAAAGGCAGAACAAGAAAAAATTGCTTACTTAAAAAAAAGGGAGGAAAATCGGTTCAAAAAGGAAATGGATGAAGACGAATCATTTTTTAACAGTTTACTTCCGTATGTAAGAGTATTCAACCCTAGGCAAAAAATAAAGTTTCGCATAGCAGTTATGAAATTACTGGAGGAAGAAATTCCTGGACCATCCAATAGGCCACATTCTTCGCAAAGTTTCACTCCTGTTCAGCATCATGTTTATGAAAATTCTCAACGGAGCATTCAGTTATTAAGCAATGAGGTTCCTCCTGGACCCTCATTTACGTCACATACTTTGCCACGATCTAATCCTGTTCGTCGTGTTCAGGAAAAGTCTCAACAGAAGATTCAGTTATTAAACATTGATGTTTCTTCTGTACCATCACCTACGACACCTACTTTATTGACACTGCAACCTCGGTATTTACATGAAAACTCTGAACAGAACATGCAGTTATCGAACAACGAAATTTCTGGACATACTTGGCATACCTCTACTTCTACTCAGTCCTATCATGATAGTTCCGAACGAAACATCATTCCCGATAATCATCACCAACGTGACATCTCGTCCCAGCAACCCTTTTCTACCAATAACGCAAATTGGGATCAATAGAAATACAAAGGTGGAAAGGAAAAATGTATAAATAATATGAAGTTAAATATAATGTTTAAAGTTTTTGCTAATAGCAATGTTATTACTAATAAAACATTTTATAAAACTTACCGCAGTGTTAGCATTAACCTTTCTTCAACTGCTATTGGTTGAGCGCATGACAGTTCTTCCAAGATAGGTTTACTTTATTCTCTATTTTACTTAATACATAATCAAATGTCTTAATATTCATTCGCATGTACTCGAAAAAACGTCGACCATCTTTTCTTAAATCCTTGTAAAGGTGATGGAATTCTCCAAAGTAACTTCGTTTTTTATTTAGAGGGTGTACTGACATCCTTGGTTTATTTTTAATTAAATACCACTTTGTTAAGTTAGAATCTAATAAAATATCATCCTCATCTGACGATGATGAGGCCATGTTTAAAAGTAAAAACAAATTACTACGGAAAACGTACTGTGCGCTGTGCGCCAACGTGGACACTTGTCGGCAATGCTCTGTGCGAGGCAGAGGCGATACTATGGTATAGGCTTAGTGCGGTGCGCCGTTGTGGCCGCACCCTAATGGAACAATCCATTACCGCATTACAGAAGAACACGTCAGATGCACCAACAGCAGTA